GGAATTATCTAAGGTCCAAGTAAAGCCTTTATCAGGTGAAAGCGATTGGCTTATATGGAAATGCAGGATAAAATTTGTTTTAAATATATCCTTTAGAAATTGTAGAAGGAACTATAGTGAAACCAGAAATTCTTCTTGTAGATGTTCTGACTGCTCAACAAGAGAAATATAATGAAGCTGTTAAGAAGTTTCAAAATGCAAACACTAGTGCTATGATGGTATTAACGAATTCCATGACGGAAGAAACTCTGCAAAACGTTATGAGATTTCAGACTGCTAGAGAAGTGTGGTTGGAATTACATAAGTTATTTGAAGCATCATCAGAAAATCAATTGTATAATATATGCATGCAATTTTTTCAATTCAAGTGGAATGGAAATGATAATATAGCAGCTCATCTTTCCAAATTAAAAAACTTATGGAATGAGTTTCATTCCATTCAGGACTTGAAAAGAAAAATGAAAATAAGTTACCTGACATGCTACTCAATTGCAAGATTTTAGTCTCACCAGGACAATACCATTTGTTTAAGTTAAGTTGGTTACTCTTGGGTGAAGACAAGAGAACAGTTGATGAGTTAACAGCACAGCTTTGCTCTCATGAAAGAGAATTTAAAAGTCATGAGAAAGGCAATACAAATCAACAAGTGGCATTAGTAATGTCAAAATCTGAAAAACAAAAGCAATATAAAACAGACAAATTCAGAAGTAAACCAAGAAAAGAAGATATTTGCAATTATTGCAAAAAGAAAGGACACTGGGTAAAAGATTGTAAACAGTGGATTGCTGATGGAAGACCACCCAAGAATAGGTTACGAAAACCAATGAAGGAAATACAGGCAGTGTAATACTCGATTGGTCCATGTGACAAGAGGCTAAGACTGATCAAACATCTTTTTGGATTGATAGTGGAGCTACAAGACATATCATGAATTGTTTCCACATACTTTTATTGACTTTTGTGAAGTTTGATAGTCCCTGTAGCATCAAGGCTGCTGGAAAAGAAACTTTAGTTGCTCTTGGTAAAGGTACAGTATGTGCGTCAAACAACTATCTATTGGTAGTTAAAATCCAAAGAATTTACCTTAAAAGATGTTTGGTATGTCCCTGAGATAAACAAGAAATTTATTTTCTTTACTTTGCTGCTCAAGATAGAAATCCAAATAGTAAATTTATTTCAACAGTTACAGAATGGCTGGTTAAAGTTTAATGGTCAAGTAAAAAAAGTGCTTTTTGGAACTCGCAAAGTATATGGTACTTTATACAAGGCAGCTATCGAACCTATTATGCCTGATAAAATTATAGAAAGTGCATGCTGCTGAAGCAGACAATTCCTTGTTAGAGTTATATCATCAAAGAGATGGGGACATCAAGATAAACGTCACATTAAGAACATGCTTGAGAAAGAATTAGGAATTAAAGTTCCATTTGAAAAGAAAATTGTGTGAACCATGCATATTTTTGGCAAAGCACACCGTTTACCATTTGGCATAAAAGAAAGCCAGCCAAGCAAGCCTGTGAATTAATTTTAGCTGATGTCTGTGGACCTTTTTTGATGAATCTTTCCAGAAGAAAAGATACTTAGTGTGTTTAAAGATAGCTACACAAAGTTTCGTTATGGGTTATTTTATCAAGGAAAAATCTGCTGTTGTAAATATGTTACAACACATATACTTGCACACGCTAAAATCTTTAGGACATTCAGTCAAAGAATTTTTGTGACAGCGATAATGGACGCGAGTTTGACAATGACAAAGTGTGTGCTATTTTGCATTCTGAAGGTAATAACTCAAAGACTAACAGCACCTTATTCTTCCTGAACAAAATGGCTCTAGTGAAAAAGATACATGCGTATACAATAATCGACAATGGCAAGAACATTTAAGTACTCAAATTCTGAAGCTCATTTTCCTGCAGCAATGTGGGCTGAACTAGTCAACACTGCCATATATGTACTAAACAGAACTGGCAAATCATCAGTAGAAGGCATGAGTCCTTATGAGCTATGGTTTAAAAAGAAACCTCGAATTAAGCATCTTCGTATAGTAGGATCTGTCTGCTATGCCCATATTCCTAAACAAAGAAGAAGGAAAATGGATAATAAGACTACAAAAGCTTATTTAATTGGTTATGATGGAGACGAAAGATACCGACTATGGATCAAAGAAACCAATAGTGTGATCTGTTCACATGATATTATATTTAACGAAAAGCTCACAAATTGTGAAGAAAGGGTGCAGTTACCTATTCAAGATCAAGATAGCCTAATTTCTGGCTCTGAACATCAACAAAATTCAGAAAAAGATAAGTCAGAAAAGTTTCTTTGTGAAGAAGATAATTCAGAAAAAGAATACAACAAAGAGATATCTGGAAATATATCAGAAGAACATTTTGAAAGACAAGAATGTGAAGATATCAATTTGCAAAATAATGCACAGTCAAGATACCTAAGAGATAGAGCTGACTTGAGAAAGCCAAAGTGTTTTGAAGATTATATAATGATAAGTGAAGCTTTTATTATTGATTCTGAAGAGCCCAAATCTTATGAAGAAGCGATCAACTGTAAGCAAAGTGTTAATTGGAAAGAAGCTATGGATTCAGAGATGAAATCATTGATAGAGAATGAAACATGGAGTTTAGAAAACTTACCAAAAGATGCTAAAGCTATACCATGCAAGTGGGTTTATAAGATCAAAAGGAATCCTGATGGATCTATTGATAAATTCAAGGCTAGACTTGTTGCCAAAGGATGTACTTAACGTTTTGGAGTTGATTATGATCAAACGTTCAGTCCAGTAACAAAGTTAGGAACTATTCGTTCAGTTTTGAGCATCGCAGCGAATGAGAAAATGCATCTTTCTCAGTTTGATGTAGGTTCAGCATTCTTATATGGAAAACTTGAAGAATCTATATACATGCAGCAACCAGAAGGATATAGTGACGGTTCGAAGAAAGTCTGTAAGTTGAAACGCAGTTTGTATGGACTTAAACAATCATTACGCTGCTGGAATAAATATTTTGGAGATTTTGTGTCACAGCTGGGCTTTAAGATAAGTGAAGATGATCCATGCTTATATATAAGAAACAATAACGGCAAGAAGCTAATCGTATGTTTATTTGAAGATGATGGTTTAGTAGCATCAACAGATCTACAAGAATCTGAAAAATTTCTCAGAGAATTGAAGTCGAGATTTAGAATCACAACTAAACCAGCAGTATACTTTCTTGGACTTGAAATTAAACATCTTGAAGATGGAAGAATTAAAATTAGTCAGCAAGCTTATGCAAGAAAAATTCTTCAAAAATTTGGGATGGAAGATTGCAAGCCAGTGTCCACTCCTATCCTGAAGGAAGGTCTAACTGAAAAGAAAAAGAAGATAAATCAAACAGAGAATTTTTCCTTATAGAGAAGCTGTAGGAGCTTTAATGTATCTTATGTTAGGCACAAGACCAGATTTAGCTTACTGTGTTGGCATTCTATCACGTTACCTAGAAAATCCTTCGAAAGATGATTGGAAAAAAAGTGAAACGTGCATTCAGATACATAGCAGGTTCTCTAACTAAAGGTGTTTACATACAAGAATAAATACAAACCAGGAATTCTAGAATGCTATAGTGATGCAGATTTTGGAGGCTGTCAAGAAACAGGAAAATCAACGAGTGGAGTAGTGATATTATATAGTGGTGGAGCTATAACATGGATTAGCCAAAGGCAATCAGTTGTTGCAACTTCGACGACTGAAGCAGAAGTAATTGCAGCTAGTGAATGTTCTAGAGAAGTAATTTGGTTAAAGTGACTATTTAGTGATGTAACCAAGTTACGTGAAACTCCAGTAATTCAAGTAGACAACGCTGCTGAGACTGTCACAAAACCCGGAGTTTCATCGACGCACAAAACACATTGATATCAAGCACTTTTTCATACGAGAGAAAGTTCTAGAAAAGGAAATCATTGTGCAGTAGGTACCTACAGAGGTTCAAGTTACTGACATAATGACTAAACCTTTACTTAAATCGAGACTGTTAATTCTTTGTGATAAGATGGGACTTTTGTGACTTTTTTCTTTTAATTTATTATTATTATTTTTTTTACAAGGAGAAGTATTAAAGTATGTTAATAAAAATAATAATAATATAATATATAGTTTAGATAAGGTCTGGCAACAGTGAGTGTTTGTCATCATCAGGAGATAGTGCTTCGCGATTCTGTTGTTCAAAAAAAAGCTATAGTTTGTAATTCCAATAAAAGCATTGTATTTTTGCTCTGCTATTGTTTTTCTCTCTATTTTTAGAATAACCTTTTTATATATGAAAAATTAATTTACTTTATTTATTTTGTTAAATAAAATAATTTTCCTTCGCTTAATAATCCTTTCAAATTGTTTGCAGCACTTGTTAAAACTCTCAGCCCTCTCTAGTCTACCCTATAACAGACATCAGAAGGTGTGACACATACTCGCATTCTTTTTTATACTCAAGAAACCTCATAGATACCACATGGGCTACAGCATTACATAATTTAAAAATTTGTCCTTTTAATCACAATATCATTTGCACATATCTACTTACTTTTTTAATAGAATGGCAAAATTCATGAGTATTTTATAAATATATTAGAACCTATATTAAACTCAGCTTTTTAAGTTTTCGTATACACATGCAACACACACACAGATATTGCATATGTAATTATTACTTTTCCCATAGTAAAAGAATGTCACTCTAAATATTATTCATAACTGGAGTAATTGCAAGGTAATTTAATCTGAGATTTATAAATGCAGTACTTCACAGGCAACTGAACAAAACAGATATGTCAAATTTTTCATTATCTTTTGAATCAGTGATATCTACTGATGAATTTCCACCTTCCATATTGTGCAAACAAATTACTTCAAGAGCCTTCAATTTTCTCTCCTGCCCCCAAGTTTCAAAATTGATAAAAATATTTTTCATAGTTCTTATTCAATATACATATGTGAATGTTTCTCATGAACTTACCTGCAGCAGTAATTTCATCTTCTATCCCATATTCAGAACTTCCATCATGAATAGGATCATAATAAAAATTATTCCATTTAGGACTTGAAACAGCTGCTATTACAGCACCCTGAAATATATATATATATATATATATGTGTGTGTGTGTGTGTGTGTGTGTCGACACACACACACACATGCATGCAAATTATTATAACCAAAAATATGTTATATAATGCATAATAAATCAAAATAATTCAATTTTTAAAGAGCAGGGGGGATTCAACTAAGCCCACAACTGGTTGTTTTCAGTATTTTTTACATTGTTGAGAATAATCACACGCACTCCCCGTTCTTGTTTTAATGTCCTGTATTTTAACCGTAACTGTTTTATACTTTTGCTTAGGTTGATCTGGCAATGGTTGTAGTAGTTCTTGGTCATGGTTTTGATATGTAGAAACGTGCGGTGCCATGTGGGGGTTAAATTCAATCTTTTAATAAACCCTCTATTTAATTATCTTGGGCCTCTGATTCACCTTTTTTAAATCTTTATAGCAGAGCGTGGTTCTGATATTGAACACGCTAGAGGCGAAGCATTATATTTGTTTTGTGGAACTTATTTGTTTGGAACGGAATCGCGCGTTAAGTGAAATTTGAAATGGCAGCACGTGATGAGAACACAAAGTATTGTGTTGAGCCGTTTAACGGTAAAAAACTTTTCTCTGTTTAAGCGCCGTGTTGAAGCTGTGTTTGCGGCCAAAGAACTTGATAAATATTTAGACGTTGAAGCGGATGAAACGAAAGTTGCTGAAATCAAAGATGCAAAAAAGGCTTACGCATTGCTGCTAACCCTTCTAGATGATGCCATATTGGCGACCATGTCGAGTGAATCTTCTGCATGTGAAATTTGGAGCAGTTTAAAGAATAAATACCATAAGGTGAGTGCAGTTAGTCAAATATTAGTACGAAAGAAATTATCGACACTGAAGAAACGCCGAGATTGCAGTATGCAGTCACATATTAACGAACTGTTGGCGATCGTAAATGAACTGCGGCTCTCGGGTGCTGAAGTCAAAGATATGGATGTGATTATTTATTTGTTGATGTCGCTACCTTCTGAGTACGACATTATTAAATCGACGATTGAGAACCAGCCAAATGAAATGCTTACGCTGGACTTTGTTATGCAAAGGCTCTTGAATGCTGAAGAATTGCAAGGTGAGAGAAATTCTTACGATTCTCGTGTTTCTGGCTCAAGTAATAACGTAGCTTTTAGCGCTGATAAGCGTGATATCATCTGCCACAAATGTAAAAGTAAAGGTCATATTGCCAGGCTTTGCAAGAAAAAATTAGTTTGTTTTGGATGTGGACGCCCAGGGCATTACAGGAAGGATTGCAGATTTAACCATAAATCAGATTATAGCGAATCGGCTGCAGTAACATTCATGGTTAATGAGCCTGTTGGAAATTTCATTCTGGATTCTGGAGCATCTACACACATGTGTAATAAAGGTGAGTGGTTTGAAGAAATTAAACCTTTTTCTGGAACTGTTGCATGTGCTTCGAAAAATGATGTTTTAAAGGTAGAAGGTATTGGTACAGTACCTAGAACATTAAATGGAAGAGAAATACAGTCAAAAGTCGTTAATCCGGATTCGTCGGGACTTCGGCGATTCCGGATTATCGATTTTTCCGGATTATAGATCATCAGTTTAAATCTCGTAAGATGGCATGCAAAATTACAAAATTAAAAATATGAACCGTAATTTATGAAATAAAGAACAATTATGATCTAAAGGGTATCAAAATTTACAAAAAGAAAAAGCTTAATATTTATTTGTTTACTTTATTAAACATTTCCTTCAATGTAAGTTGCTTCGTTTCATGTGATAATACTTTCTCTTTAATTCTATTAAACAGACATAATTTCTTGTTTAGTTACAAAGTTCCGCTGTTCAAGTCCTATAATTGCTGTGTTTTGAATACCGACTAATTTGTCAATCGAAATGTTTTCGTTTTCAATAACCTCTGTGTCACTTTCTTCACTATCGGAAGCGAATTATAATGACGAGGAACTTGATTTAAATCATATCAAAGACGGAGTATATCGAGATGAAATACTACACTTAGTACGGAATCATAAACCAAATAAAATAAAAACATCTGCCCTGAAGATAAGGATAGTGCTGACAGATCAACTTCCAATCCGCGGGGTGAAATTGATAAACAGATTTCGGATTTCAAAACATGCTTTTGCTTTGTAGATACAAATTACACATTAGTAAATATATATCGGAAATTCTATTTGACATAATCTTTCTAATCTATCATAATCTAATAATGACGTTTCTGCCCCCCCCCCTCTGCCGCAAAGCAGCGTGAAATTGATAAACAGATTTCGTATTTCAAAACATACTTTCGCTTTGTAGTAAATATATATCGGAAATTCTATTTGACATAATCGAAAGTTTAAGCTTACTTTTATAAAATTGCTCTAACAGTGCAAAAAATAATAAGCCGGATCCAATTCGAAGATTAAGGAACAACGCAATCAGCAACATTAACTGAATTAGATAACTTTAGCTTAGCGTATAACTCCGTTACACATTAAACGCGCATGCGCACAAACATATTCGCAACTGTAAGGGTCTTACGCGCTCTCGTAAACGCTTGTGCGCATGCGTGAACACGACGCATGCGCAGAAAGTTTGTAGCTTTGAGGTCCGGATTATGGGTGTCCGAATTAACGACTTTTGACTGTATTACTTAAAGATGTGTTATATGTGCCTGAGTTGAACGGTCAATTAATATCTGTGAAGAATATTCAAAAAGCAGGTTACAGTGTAATTTTTAAGAATCATGTAGCTGTTATTGAAAAGAGGAATGAAAAATTTGAGTTTGCTAAACTCAATGAGAAAGGACAGTATGTGAGTCAATTTGAACCTGTTAAACATACATTGCAAATCATAGTGCAGAATTATGGCACAGGCGCATGGGGCACTCATCTGATAAAATATTAAAAGAAATGGGTTTGCCAGTATCTGAGTCACCTTCAAGCTTTTGTGAAGAGTGCATATTAGCAAAACATTCCAACACTCCTATGAACAAAGGTCCTAGAAGCAGAGAGCATGTGCCGATGAGAATGGTACACACTGACATATGTGGTCCCATTGATCCACCCACTAGGGAAGGTGAAAAGTATTTTGCTACAATCATAGACGATTTTTCTAGATTTACTGAAGTGCATCTCTTAAAGCACAAAAGTGACATAAATGAAGTGTTTAAATTGTTCCTAAAGCAGAATTCTGATGTCTACAAAATTCGGTGTGATAATGCCAAGGAATACGTGTCTGGTGAACTAGCTCGTCATTGCAAGAAAAATGGTGTTATGATAGATCCTGCTCCTCCATATTCACCTCCTTTAAATGGTGTGGCTGAGAGAGCCAACAGATATCTTTTAGAGAAGGCCCGAGCTCTAATATGTGAAGCAAAGCTTTCTAAATCCTTCTGGGGCTTATGCTGTACAGACAGCTGCATATCTTAAGAATAGAATTCCAAATCAGACTGTTGAAAATGTACCTTATAAGCTCAAATATGGGAAGCCGCCTGATTTGAATATTATTAAGGTGTTTGGATCTGATGCATACATGAGAGTTCCTGATAACTTAAGAAAGAAATTGGATCCAAAATCAAAAAAGATGATTTTTATTGGATACTCTACCATGGGTTATCGTTTACTGGACCCAGTCACAAATCATGTTGTGGTTTCTCGAAATGTATTGTTCAATGAAGAGAAAAAGAAATGTATCTCAGTTCAAGATGATTTTTCCATAGAAAGTAAAGATCCTGCTAAAGATGAAGTAGTATATGATTCAAGTGATGTAGAATCCAGAAATCTTGAAGAAAGTCATGAAGAAATTACTAGGCAAAGAAGAAATATAAAATTACCTGTAAAGTTGAATGATTACTTTGTGTATGAAGCTAATGTGGCAACTGTTGATACAGTAACATATGAGGATATAACATCATTGCCAACAGAAGAGCAAGTCCTATGGAGGAAAGCCATGGATGAGGAAATAGCTTCTCTTAATAAAAATAAAGTGTGGGAGTTAGTCAACTTGCCAAAGGATGAAAAGCCAATATCCTGTAAATGGGTGTTGCGCATCAAACGAAACAATGTTTACAAAGCTAGATTGGTTGCTCGTGGCTTTGAACAGAAGCCAGGTATTGATTACTTTGAGACCTATGCTCCTGTAATTAGTACATCATCACTTCGACTTGTGCTGGCTATCATTGTTCAAAAGAATCTTGAAATCTATGCATTAGATGTAAAGACTGCATTTCTGAATGGTGATCTCCAAGAAACAATCTACATGGAACAACCAATGGGCTACAGTGACAACAGTGGTCGTGTGTGCAAGCTTCTTAAGAGTCTTTATGGACTTAAGCAAGCACCGAGGCAGTGGTTCAAGAGATTTACTGATTTTATAATTCTGTTAAACTTCCAACAACTTAAACTGTGAAGCATGTACTTTTGTAAGAAGAACTAAACAGAGTGAAATATTTATTGTGCTGTATGTGGATGACTTGCTAATTGCTGGTTCTAATGATTCAGAGGTAAAAATTGTGATTGAATTACTTAGAAATGAATTTGAGATGTCCAAGGCTGAAGTTGCAAATGAATTTCTTGGAATAAGTTTTGAATATTCACAGAACAAACTTACTTTACTTTAGGCCAAAAGGCTTATGTTGAAAATTGTTAAATAGAATGTTAGATTGCCATCTGATACTCCTCTAGTGCCTAAGTCAACTTCATCAAATTTTGTGAATGGTGAAAGATTTCATGGCCCTTATCGTGAACTTGTAGGTGCTTTGCTGTATCCTATCTATGACAACTCGTCCTGATATTCTGTTTTCTGTGAACTGTCTGAGTCAGATACAAGAACCCACTAACAGTGCTTGGGCTGGTCTGAAGCAAATTCTTCGATATTTAAAAGAGACATCTGACTTGAAATTATTATTTTGTAAATCTAATAGTGTTGATATTATGTTAAATGTTTATGTTGATGCTGATTGGGGGTCAGATACAAATGATAGAAAATCTATTTCAGGGTATATTATTTTCTTTAATGATTGTCCTGTAACTTGGTCTGTTAAAAAGCAAACATCTATTGCTCTGTCCTCTACTGAGGCAGAAATTTTGGCTTTAGCAAAAGCTATTCAAGACCTAACTGTATTTTATAATGTATCTAAAGAAATTTTAGGAGTCGACAATATTAAAGTTTCAGTTTATGAGGATAATCAGTCTGTAATTAAAGCAATATTGAATGAAAGTAATTGTGCTAGACTAAAACATTTGGATATTAAATTAAAGTATATTAGGGATATTGTAAAATTGTACGATATAAATCTCGTATATGTTTCTAGTGAAAATCAGTTAGCTGATTTGTTTACAAAATGCTTGCCTAAACCAAGATTATGTTATTTAAGAGATAAATGTAAAATAATATGTGATTAAGGGAGGGTGTTGAGAATAATCACACGTACTCCCCGTTCTTGTTTTAATGTCATGTATTTTAACCGTAACTGTTTTATACTTTTGCTTAGGTTGATCTGGCAACGGTTGTAGTAGTTCTTGGTCATGGTTTGATATGTAGAAACGTGCCGTGCCATGTGGGCGGTAAATTCCATCTTTTAATAAAACCTCTACTTAATTATCATCGGCCTCTGATTCACCTTTTTTTAAATCTTTACATACATAAAACTATAAATCAGTTGACATGCATTTAATAAATAATAAAAAGGGAGGCCATTCAGCACTTTTACAACATGATTAAGAATTTCTACAGCAAAACAACTTTATAATCTTAAACATTAAAAAAAAAAAAAAAAAAAAAAAAAAAAAAAAAACACCCTAATATAAAATGAAATTTGTATTCCCTTTTTTGTCCTCAATTACTGCACAAGAGCAGAATGACTACTGATAGTGATATGTACTATGATAAAATACCGTACCTACAATGCGGAGACATGCTGAAAAACACAGTAAAATGCGATAATGTCTCATTTTCTAGTTATCCTGATAAGAAGTAATATGACAGAAACTGATCCATGATATCAGCTTCTTTCATAGATCTATCATGGGCCTTGAAATTACATTTTATATTAGGAATAACTAATTTTCCTTTCACGTCATTTTGTTTTTTCACTTGTCTTAAAAAGCACTTCAATCTGAAAATAATTAATTAAATCTACCCAACAAAAGCCCTGGCATTTCATTTACACCACATCAAACTCTTTTAAAATTATCAGTTGATTATATTTAAATCACAAAATACCAAAATGTGGCTTGAAACAATTATTTGAATTTTTCCATAAGCAATAAAATACTTAAATCATTTCAGATACATTTTAAGCCATTATACTTTGGGTAATATCTAAATTTTAAATAACCTAAGTAATTAAGATGAATGACTTTTGATGTCAAGTAAAGTATTGCCGAGTCAATTTGAGAAAAGTTGAAAATTAGCTCTCCTGCCAATTCTCACCACAAATTTTCATTCTTTTCAAATTAACTTTATAGGTCTGTGTTTCCAATATTAAAATGTGAAGAATACTCGAAATATACAATCTTATCATAAATTCCGTTTAAGTACAATGTACAACATTTTCCATTAATGGAAACTTTCGCAAAAAAAAAAAAATAATAATAATAATAATAAATAAATAAATAAATAAAATAAAACAAAATAAATAAATAAAAATTTAAAAACAATTATTTCCGAATTCTTAGACTTATACTTGAATCATATTATCATTTGAACAAATATAAATAAACACAATGCATTTCAGCTTTACACTGAAAATGGACATTGATATAAAGTAAGAAGAAATAGCCCAGTTTACAAATATTTAAATAACAATTTTTTTAAATGCCAACCGGAATTACTTTATTTTTCTCATGAACAATAAAACACCCGATAATTGCAACCAAATTTTAAGCTGTTATAATTTGGAAAGCATCTCAATTTAAACAATTGTCTCTAACAAATCAAGAAAGAAGACTTTTTGTCATAAACTTCCATTCACCCATTTCCTAATTTAAAAATAACTGCTTCTTTTGATGGAAATGGGAAATCAATGGGACGCGCGAGTTAATCTATTTATAAAAATTATGTATAAAAAATTTTACAATAACTGTGATACGAAGTTTAATAATATATACCGGAAACAAATGCTACACTTATTCTTCCAGTGGTCAATATACACTGGTGTGCAAAAATTATGGATGAAGTCGAAAAATTAGCATATCAGCTGAACGAAGAGGCAGAGCGGACAGAAAGACCAATCAGGAGATTAAGTAAGGTGATGTATGGTAGCACATGCGCAGATATGCAGGTAGACATAATGGGGGAGTGTCTGAGTAGTATAAAGCATGTTGTCAGTGCAAGATCAGTATTTCTGGCAAAGAGATTGCACGCCGTATAGCAGTTAAAATCACACCGAGTTGCTGCCTCAGCGAGAAACGGCGAATAATCAATCTGTTGACATCTGAATGCTTTTACACGAGGTCGAATCATTGGGAAGTTGGAGGAAGGCTGCAGTGTGACAAGTGTGGCTGCAGAGTTCGGTATTGCTCACAGCATCGTTTCACGACTTTGGAGACAATTTCAAACTACAAGAACAGCTATCCGGGGGTTTAGTAGTGGTCGTCCACGAGGAACCACACGCAGATGACTGGTATATTGCCTTACAGGCCAGAAGAAACAGGCGGCAGACAGCGGGAGAAATCGCTAGACACAGGCGATTGGACGACCGATATCGCGTTTTACCGTGGCCAGAAGACTGCATGATGGTGGTCTGTTTGCACAACGCCCTGTACGGTGTGTACCTCTAACGCCTGCCCATCGGAGAAGGCGTTCTCTGTGGTGCCGGGAACACTGAAATTGGAGAGACAATGAATGGGGACGAGTACTCTTTACAGATGAGAGGAGATTCAGTCTGAGTAGCGATTCTCATCACATACTCATCTGGAGAGAGCAGGGAAGCTGCAATCATCCCTCGAACATCATTGAAAGGGACAGGTATGGAAGTGGCGGTGTTCTCGTTTGGGGAGGCATCATGCTTGGTAGTCGTACAGACCTTCATATCTTCGTCGCAGGTTCAGTCAACGGGACCCGTTATTGTAACAAGATTCTTCTTCCATATGTGCGTCTTTTTAGAGGCGCTATGGGTCCGCAGTTCCTTTTCATGGACGACAATGCACCATGTCATCGCACAGTAGCTGCCGAACAGCTCTTAGAGAGTGAGGATATTGAACGTATGGATTGGCCAGCACGATCTCCGGATCTCAATCCCATCGAGCATGTATGGGATTTTCTAGGCAGACGCTTAGCAGCTCGTACCTTACCACCAGTAATGATTCCGGAGCTTCGATTGGCGCTGCAAGACAAATGGGCAGCAATGTGTCAACAACTCATTGACACCCTCATTCTCAGCATGGGCAGACGCTGTGAAACCTGCCTAGCAGTCAGGGGAGATCGTATCCCCTATTAAAGACCGGATGTTTCTTGCTGGACACCCATCACAGGGATGTTTCGGCCTTCAGTCGCATTGCGCTCCATGCTACTTTTTCAATAAAGCTTCTTTTTATCCCTCTGATTTCTCTTTTAGTAAATGTTGCTTACATTACTCATGTCCTTACGTATTGGGGATCTTACGGTATTAAATGTGTTGATTTGGAAAGCTTTTGTACAAATTTATATTGAAAAAACCGTCTTGTCCTTAATTTTTGCACACCAGTGTATTTAAAGATGATTGAAATTTGGCATTTTTTTGCTCTTCCAGGTTTTACATAATTTTTCATGGTTTTGTGTTATTTCAATCTGTTTCTAAGCACTGAAATTGAACATCTATTTTTTGTGGGGTATAACAATATAAATGCTTTTACATATGGTACAGAAAAAAACACATTTAGCAAATATCAAATTTTACAGTCCTAAGTGATGTACAAAGACAGATGACCAATCAACATATCTGACACATTCAATATTTTGTAGATAATCTACCTCAAAAAGGACAAAACTATGCACTAATTAACAAATTCCAAACTATTCTTGATTATTAAAAGTTCACTTAACAATTTTTTCAGCTAGCTTGATGCACTATATTAATCCTACGCAGAAATTTCTGTTTGCAATTTTACAGCATTTCAGAAATTATAAATTTTAATACTTACAAAAATACCATTAGCTTAGTTAAAATGTTACTACATTATTACAGATATTAGTTTGCATACTTTTAATTTTCTCCTTGCATTAAATCGTTTTAGCTCTTCTACAGTTGTTGAAAGATGTCTTTTAGGAGCACACTGCTCTCTGCCCTGTAAGGAAAAAACTAAGAACTAATTCTAAAATATTAAAACTATTGAACCACAAATATAAGATGATTAGTTAAAATGCATTTAAATTCTTTTCATATGAGGAAAATAAAATCAGGTTGTCAGTTACTAACACAAGGTTTTTGCTAATAGCTAAATTGTTTCTTATAATATGAAAAAATAAATAATAAAACACATTTTTTAGAAACATGTACGCTTGATACAGAAAAACTGTTACTTTCTGGGAGAAAAAAAAAATCCTGTTTCTTGAAAATCAATGTTCACATATATTTTGTTCATCTTAATGTCTAACTACAATTAACAGTATTAACTGCTGTTCATATAGTGTACATTGGATGGGTAAACAGTTTTCAACATACATTAGTCATTATTGATATAGATACACTAATCATTACGCATTCATGTCCAAAATTACCTTTACATGCACGAAATCACAGATTTATTTGAAACTGTGAATTATAATTCTACAAATTCGTGTGCAATGATACATAAACACACACATAACATCATAACATATAGACACAAAAGAAAAAAGTTAAAATGTCATCTCCTATCACGTTTACACACACATCGCTATGTGCTTTCTGTTAGAAATAAACTTTATTTTATTTTTATGATATTACATCTGCCAAAGCAATGCTATAATTATACATTCTATGTTCCTTAATATTCATGTGTAGCTCCCTTTTTGATTTTTGCTGAATGGCAACAGTTTCAGTAAGTCAAATTAATAAACATGTAATGTGCATTTGTGATTTGCTTTTTTCTTTCTACTATATTACAACATACATCTGCCATTTAAGTAATTCCTATCACTTTCATGTTGGTTATAACACTGCTAACCATAATTTGGTGAATTTTCCAGTCCTTCAGCATTGTGGTCTTTAGCATATTCACATCTCTACGAGGGAACATCTCAGAGCAGTGCTTTCCCAAGGTACTCCCATAAATTCTCTATCGAATTAAGATCAAGAGATTTTGCTGGCCACTGTATTCGCTCAGACTTCATGTTCAAGAAATTTGTGAACAAAGTTTGCTCAATGTGAACAAGCACATCGAACAATCCATTAAAAAATTCAGATTCCTATGCACCTCTGAAAAGTCTTACATACATTGCTAAGACCTCATACAGATATCTCTAGCTGGTCACAGACCCCATGTTGAAAAAGTGTAAGGATGTATGCCCATTTGATCAGTATTCCTGCCCATACCGTCACATTTGCATTACCAAAATGGTCACATTCCATAATGTTCGAAGGAATATTTGTTTTTCTGACTCCCTTCAGATGTAAACACGGCTAGAATAAGATGTTAAACTAAACTTCAGTTCATCATGAAAAGAGAACATGGGATTATTGGAGTTCACTGCAGTTCTGATGTTTTTTGTGTTAATTAATGGGTCTTCTTTTTTTTTTTTTTTTTTTTTTTATGTAGACAGTGAAACATGTAACCTTGGCTTTTTGGTATAAAAGCCTAATTCATGAAGCCTTATGTTATATAGTTTGCAGTAATATAACAATTCCAGTGGCAGCTGCAGAAAACTTAACTGCTCAGAAGTACACATTCAGCTACAATGAGCAGTTATTGCCACAGATCAATCTTGAAAAGCAGTTGCTTACGACCTTTTCCAGTCTTCCTTACAGCATATACAGAATTCTAAAATTCTTTCCATTGCAAAAAGACTGTCTGTCTTGAAATATTCACACATCTCACTGCTTCGATAACTGTCTGCAATATTTCTTAGCTGCCGGCCATTCACCATTTGACAAATTTTTCCAAATGATATTTCAGAGCCATAACAAATTGGTTCTGAAATATCTGAGTCTTTTTGCACTGAAATCAAAAGTTATATTTCAGATACAGCTCATATATAGCTGATATCACTCAGATAATCACTTTGTGCAAAGCACTTTATTCACCATCAAATAATAAGACCTTAATTTATAGATCAGAAAACTGCCTGCAAAAATGGATTACATCGACTGAATATTTCATGAAGTATCATTATTTTGGAGGATCGAAAGATAAATTTGGACATGAGTGTATAATGATTACACATAGAAAGCAAATGACAGGAGTTATGTAATTTATATACAGAAGTAGGAATTTAAAAAAAAATGGTTTCCTTCATCAACTTCTTTACATTTTTTTCCCTATAAGATACAGCATATAAAATAATCATAATACAAATAATTACACACAAATAACTTAAAGATATCAATTAAACTAAGACTATGAACAACAATTCTGAAAAACAAAATGGGTTATTAGATTTATTTTAATATTTTATGTAATACAATTACTTTTAATTTTACAATTACAAACAAGTTTTGAGGAAAAAATTACAGATTCTACGTGCACAAAAGTCCAGTTTAAATTAATGTCAGGGCTCGCTTGATTTATTGATGCAATGTTTCAAATATTTACCATAATTTTTTTTAACCTTACAAGGTATTTCTCCCGCTTTCCTAGTGTGCCTTCGTGGTGCAGTGGTTCTGCATGCTGGAACGATATTCCAGAGGTCCGTGGTTTGATTCTCAGTGAAGGCTTTGCTAATTTTTCATCTTGCCTGCTTCAAAAAAAAAAAACCCTTATGTCTCTACAGTGGCGCCCGAATTCAAAGGGTGTTGGATGATGGTTCTCCACACCCAGGATTTGGCAATTGGTTCCCCTAAAAACCCCAGTCGCCTTTAAAAGGGGAAGTATATAAGGCATTTCTCCCACCTTCCTAGCATGCCTTCGTGGTGTAGTGGTTCTCCATGCTGGGCCAGTATTCCAGAGGTCCATGGTTCAATTCCCGGCGAAGGCAATTGCTCATTTTTCATCTTGCCTGCTTCCAAAAATAACTAATGTCTCTACAATGGCGCCCGAAATAAAAAGGGTGTTGGATGAGGATTCTCCACACCTAGGATATGGTGACTGGGTCCTCTAAAACCCCAGTCGCCCTTTAAAAAGGGGAGTACATAAGGTATTTCTCCCACTTTGAGTGCCTTCGTGCTGTAGTGGTTCTGCACGCTGCGCCGGTATTGCAGAGGTCCCTGGTTCGATTCCCGGCGAAGGTGTTGCTAATTTTCCATTTTGCTTGCTTCCAAAAAAATTACCAAATGTCTCTACAACCTAATTCTCAAATCTTCAGGTTTTTCATAGTAAATTATTGACTTGACTAACGCCTGCTCATACTAAGAAAGAAAAGCCAATAATGTTGTTCGGTAACAACTTTTATTTTGGAATATTTCTCTATAGTGACTTTTAAATTCCACAAATTAATATACACATGCATTTTGAATAAGATTTGTACTTGAACATCCAAGTTTAAAAACTATTTTCCGTGTGGAAAACACATGTCTGAAGTTGGTACAGTCAAAAGTCGTTAATCCGGACTCGTCGGGGCTTCGGTGATTCCGGATTATAGATCATCAGTTTAAATCTCGTAAAATGGCATGCAGAAATTCTAAAATTAAAAATATCAAAGGGGAATTCATGAAATAAAGAACAATTATGATCTAAAGGGTATCAAAATTTACAAAAAAATAAAGCTTAATATTTATTTGTTTACATTTTTAAACATTTCTTTCAATGTAAGTTGCTTAAGTTGCTTCGTTTTATGTGATAATACTTTCTCTTTAATTCTATAAACTGACATAATTTCTTGTTCAGTTACAAAGTTCCGCTGTTCAAGTCCCGTAATTGCTGTGCCGAGAATACCGACTAACTCGTCAATCGAAATTTTTTCGTTTTCACTAACCTCTCTGTCATCTTCTTCATATCTTTATCCATTTTTTGCAGCAATTCCACTTTTTGTTTGATGGACATCGAAACATACTTACGTTTTGTAGATCCTTTGGGAGCTCCAGCATCGGAAATTCTATTTGACATAATCGAAAGTTCAAGTTTACTTTTATAAAATTGCTCTTGCAGTCTGAAAAAAAGTAATAAAGCCGGATCCAGTTTGAAGATTAGGAACAACGCATCATCAACATTAATGAATAGATAATTAGTATTTTAGCTTATCTGTCCGTTATATAAACGCGAACGCGAACGTATTCACTTGCGACACGATATGACAGCGTAAAGGTTAAGTCACATCCCCGGACGCTCGGACTATTGAGCATGTTCCTAAAACGTACTCGCTGTACCTCCTGCTGTGAGAGCTGCTTCGCTGCTATTGGTTAGAAGAATTTAGACGTAACATAGAGCTTTCGACGTCATTTGTTTTGTCACGTGGTAAAGCTTCTCGTAGCCCTTGTAATAAAACTTTTATGGCGTTACAGCGGTTATGTTTTAATCCTTTAAAAAAAATCAGTTAAGAAGTCAGAGGTGATTTTATGTACAACTGAATTAATTCATATGTTAATATATATTTTTACTTTATTTATGCAATACACACTTGAGAAATACCGGATCATTACAAAGGAATGAAAATGTGTTATTTGCTTGCGAGGGTTATATCCATATTCTATTTTGCTAATGGAATGTTGAAAAAACAATATTTAACATAGTGTATTAATCTTTTATCGTGATACAACTACATTTTTAAGAACAAGATTAAAAAGCTTACAATCATCTAAATTTATCTCAGTTTTCACACTGAGATGGAATCCCAGGAAAAATATTGTTAATGATGGACTAGATCAAAGTAGTGATATAGAGAAAGCACACGTGGGATCTTTTCCTTTACTGAATAACATCTGCCAGTCAATTTACAGCAAAATATATATGCCTACATTAAAGAATCAATTTTATCTTGAATTAATTCTAATCTTAGTACATAACTATTATCTACATTTCATTTCATTATTTCCTTTTTTTTTTTTTTTTTTTTTTTTTTTTTTTTTAAAGATGGGGATGATCTAGTGTGACAAATTGCATTTTGAATGTATTTTAAATTTACCATTAATATTTTAAACTACATTTTGCACCAATATTTATGTTTGCTCTCCCATTAAGGGAAACATAGAAATAAGTTTTTGTGTTTAAATATA